AGACATCCTTACAGGTAAGGAGTTCTTGAAACTAGCCAGGATGTGGATGTAGAAAGAGACTTTCAGAGAGTCTACCAGGGATTGAATGAAATAAATGGAAAAATCCAAGCCTTCATAATCGCAGTGTACTCAGAGACTTAGCTAAGCAAAGCAAAGCAAAACATTCTGGATAACTTAATCAGAAAAAAACCAAAGCTATTGTTACTGGACATGAAACATCTAAACTGTAGAAAAGGGTCATAGAGGATGCTGGTAGTTCCCAGCAGTTCCTGAGTCAACAGGTTAGAAGTATTACAGGTTTTGAAACATAAATTCCAAAAATTTGTTGGAGTTTTGTTTGCATTAAAACAAAGAAACCTTACCCAAAATAAACATCTTATGAAAGTCTTTTTTTCCATTTTAGTTCATAATCATTTAACATAGTAATGCTATAACTCAACGTTTGTAAGAAGGCTTGAGCACAACTCATATTTTTAGAATACGTTGGTGTTATTTACAATTGTATATAATTGTTAGGATTATTTAGGCTAGGCACTCAGCTGACTGAAATAGAGGCATTGTAGTGTCTTAGATAATACAGTAACTATCCTTCTTGTAAAGGTAATAGCCTTCCACAGTAATGGATGCAATGACTCAGTGTTGTGAGGGATGTGTCAACACATAAACTTAGTCCAGCTTGCACCAATCCTTGAAGGTCATCTGCTGCCCTAGTAGGTACAGCCAGTACGTGGTTACCCCTCCAGGATGCAGTCACAACTCAATTTTTGTGCATTTATGTATCATTGCTAGAGGAAGCAGGAATGTAGAAGCAGCTCATACATTCAAATATGCCCCTTCCTTGCTTTAATTACTCTTTGTAAATGAGTAAATAACTGCTCTGTGCATCATGGGGTTTATGTGCTGTTACAACAATAAACCTACTATGACTGTCTTCTTTGGAATACTGGCAAATCTGTCCATAAGTCTTAAAATAGCCTTTGGAGTTGATGCTATGCGTATGAGAGTCTTTACAGCTATTGCCTTATATTATCTCTATTACATCTAAAGAAATTTCCAATAAAAAAACTATTGAGTATATGTACCGATAGCTCAAAAATATGATAAAATTAGAGTAATTTTGATAACTATCTAGCTAAAATTTTTAAAGAGCCATTGAGTTGATTAAAAAATCCCTCTAAAATCATGAAATAAAACTCTAGAGGTCAATCACCTTTAAGTTCTTAGGGATTCCACATAGTAATCATAGTTTTAGGACTATGGACTTTAGTGTTTGTGGTTCTAAATTAAAATAATTGCTCAATAAAACTTTTTTTCCATGCATCGTCTATTTCCATATATAGAATCACATTACTCAATATTTATGCTGCAACTTAGCTCATAAAATGGATTTAAATCTGAAATACACTCCTGCTGGTAGGGAAAATCCTTTGCTTTTGCATTTCCTGCGTCTTTGTTTAGTTAATGAAGAATTAAATAGAGGAAGCTATTAGTAGCAAGGATTAAAATTTATTTAATAAAATAGTAACTTATGAAGTTTAGCTTTTGTCGCACTCTAGGACGAATTTCAAAATCCAGGTTTTTTCCATTTAATCGCTACATGTGATAGTTGGCTGATGGAAATCCCTTTTACTAATAAACAGAGTTAAAATACCTGCTTTTGTGCCATGCTTTGTCTCCTCCCTTCCAATATAGAGAAAAGAGTTGGAATTTGTCTGGTGCCTTCAGCATCATTGAATTCGGGGTTTGTCATGAGAACAGACTACAAAATCAGAGAGCCTTCATAGGGAAACTTCTCAGTGAATACAGGCATAATTGCTTGCAAACTGGAAGGAAATACTTAAAATCTTCTAGGTAATGTACTGACGATGATCACGATGATGATGCAATAGTGCGTGGCTTAACCAAAACTTCCAATTATGTCTGGAGACAGATTGAAATCTGATGCAGTCTGTTGAGTGTTTCCTACTGTCACATGGCTAAGAAAAGCTATAGTAGCTCATTGGGGATTTCCAAATGTTAAGAGGATAGCAGCAACACCAGATGTTCAGTCATGAAGGTCAGCTGTCTGACAGGGCTCAGACACATTCTGCAGATGACTTTCGCTAGATAGGTTTCTAGGACCAGCCAGAAAGAAAGGCAGGTGCTGAGATTCTGAATAAGAGAATCTTTTTGCCTAAATGATTAAATAAGAAAATACTTGTCATCAACACACAGCATGTAAATTCTCCTTCCTGCCCTCTTTCTCTTGGACATAGGTTCCTTTGTTGTACTCATCCAAAGCGCTTAAGATCTGGCAGCTCTGTCTTCTGATATTTATCCAGACTACTTTCATGTAGTTGTCTGGCTGCCAGTGCCGATCATCCTGCCAAAACCTATAAATCTCTGTATCAATTTTTCCTCTCTAGAAAGTAGAGTTTGTGGTGGGAGTGGGGGAAGGCCGTCGCAGGGAAAGGATGATTCTGAGTACACACACCTTTGTCTGGATATCATAAATGCCTTTCTGTCCCTGAACTGCAGATGGCGTTCCATGTTCTCAGAATCCAACGGTTGCCATAGAAACCTGGATCAACTTCAACAAGGAGGAGAGAGCCGGCTTTTCAGAGACTCTGCGATCAAGTCTGAAGGTATAAAAAGACCTTCTGTTCTGGGGCTGGTGTAGCACTTGCTGGTTTCACACTTCCCAGGGCAGGGTATTCTGCTCACGGGTGTGACTTTAAAGTTGCAAAACATAAATGCCGTTGAAATGCATGGTGCTTGTGAGAGAATACTTTCATTGTCATAAATAGCAACCCCACTGACAGCTTTTTTTAATATAACCTGATGTTGATATCACTGGTGATTGGAGCAATGCCACAAATACCTTCTTTAACTCGATGCTCACTTACCAAAGAGACTGTTCAGAAATCTACGTTTGGCATTCCCCTTAAAATAACTGTACTCCATCAGTGATGTAACCGTCCCTTATCTAAACCATAAACACTTGGGTTCCAGTGATGTCTCTGGCTATTTTGCTGTCAGATACGACTGGTATCGTGAAAAGGCCTTGAGGCTCTGAGTCCTGAATGCTGTAGGGTGGCAAGACTGGGAAAAAAGGTTTTATACCTCAGACCCACAGATGGGTCCTAAGCTGAAAAATCCAGTGATGTTTGTGTAAACAGATCTAATTCTCCTTTCTCTCAGGTGATTGGAGAAAATGTTCACATCTACCTGATTGGAAAGGAGTCATCACGTACACATTCACTCGCTGTCTCTCTACATTGTGCTGACGATGACTCCATTAGTGTGAGTGGCCAGAACAGCTTGTGTCACCAGATCACCGCAGCCTGCAAGCACGGTAGTGACCTATATGTTGTTGGTGGCTCCATTCCACGACGCATGTGGAAATGCAACAATGCGACTATAGACTGGGAATGGTGTGCCCCTCTGCCCCGTGACCGGCTCCAACACACCCTTGTCTCTGTGCCAAGCAAGGATGCAATATATTCACTAGGGGGGAAAACTCTACAGGACACTCTCTCTAATGCTGTCATATATTACAGAGTACGAGACAACGTCTGGACAGAGACCAGCCAGTTGGAAGTGGCAGTCTCTGGAGCTGCAGGTGTAAACCTTAATGGTGTCATTTACCTGCTGGGTGGGGAGGAAAATGACTTGGACTTCTTCACCAAGCCCTCTCGGCTAATTCAGTGCTACGATACCAACACAGAGAAATGCCACGTGAAGCCATACGTGCTGCCTTTTGCGGGGCGCATGCATGCTGCTGTGCACAAGGACGTGGTGTTCATTGTCGCTGAGGGGGATTCACTGCTATGCTATAATCCCCTACTGGATAGCTTCACCCGGCTATGCCTCCCAGATGCCTGGAGTTCAGTACCATCCCTCTGGAAAATTGCCAGCTGCAATGGCAGCATCTATGTCTTTCGTGACCGCTATAAAAAGGGTGATGCAAATACTTTTAAACTTAACCCAGCCACCTCTGTTGTAACAGTCACGAGTGGCATCAAAGTGCTGCTCACTAACCTGCAGTTTGTCCTGGCCTAAGCAGGAAAAACAGGCCAGTGATAGAAAGGGCAGCAACAGTGTCCTGCTGTGCAGCTTGGAGACACCTACCACCCTCAGCACCAGTCCCAATTACCACAAGCTCACAACATCCAGTAAAGACCCCATTCTCTGTACCTGTGCAGAGGAAGTACAGGCTTTCTGATTGTGGGCCTATTCTTTTACATAGTACTATTGAACTTTATTGAACTCTTGTATCTTAGATTTCAGATGAACTAAATGCCATTACTTTGATTCCTTGATGATAAGCTGCTTGTGTTTGAGGCACAAACTGCAGCAAATGGCTATTTTAGCGTGGAACCAATCTACAAATAACAAATCCTGTGGCATACGGACAACATCTTCCTTGGCCCAGGCTGCTAGTTTTAACTGCCTAGGAGCCCACGTGTTGCTGCCATGTCAATCACAGAGATAGATGTGCACTGTAACCCCCAGGGATATCCCAATTTAAACATTCCTATGTCCTACTGCAGAAGGAGGGCATGGCAGACAGATTCCAGAGCTGACCCTAGGACCTTAAGTAGGTTGCATTCAGCACTTCTCCTAGAGGAGTGGTAACTAACTGGGTACTTGCTTACTGCTCTGTCATCACCTAGCATAAAGAAGGAGATAATTTTTAGACACTGGCTTCCTTTACTGTACAGGGAATCCCCACCTGTAATTATAACATAGTGTTGGTGAAAGACAGAATTAAGACCACTTCCTACTACCCATCTCTGTTGGCACTGTAACCCTTTGGGTAAGAATCTGAATAAAGTCTCTGTTGAGACAAAGGTATTTTTTTTTTCCTTTGCTTCAAATACAAATATTTTCAACTTCCTGTGGATTTCCAGTTCAGCTGAGCACTGATATCTGGAAAAGAACTATGAGGCTCCAAGAGAACTAAGATATTAACTACAAGAAAAGAAAGCTTTAATGAAACAGCCCAATTTTCCCTTTACTGTAGTTTATGTAAAAACTTCTTTATTGTTGGTCAAGAAGAACAACACTTAAGCCTTGATTAGATCATAAAAACATTTTTTTAAAGCAGCTGAGATGGGGATTTTGGTAGTTCTTACGGACATTATGCAGCTGTCCCAGTGATCATGTTCCTGTGAAATTTCTCCAGGACCTGGACTTGCTTGTGTCGAATGAGGATGTGGGGACGAATCTTGGCAATGGCCTGAATTGCTTCCTGAGGGTTCCAGTGATGCAGCTGAAAAGGCAGAAACCCAGCAAGTGAAAATCCATTCCATCCCTGCACCATTTAATGGAACCTTCCCAGAGGCTATAGGCAATATTAGAGGTGTTAGAAAACTTACTGCTTCGCCCCTTCTGTTTACTTCACGTTCCTCTCAGAGAAGCCAGAATGTCATGGAATCATTCATGAAATGAGTCCCTCGGTTAAAGAGGGATGGTTGCTGCCCGGGCCCTCCACTTTCTCTCTCGCTTACTCTTCCTTCATGTTGTGAATAGGTTCCTGTCCTAGTCCCACCAGACCGGAGCAAAAGCGCAGCTTGCATTTTTAAATTTTTAAAAAACTTTACTGGTACCCATGTCACACTTCAGCACTTAGTGAGAAAATTTTCCCTTCAGCGCTAGTGGAAAGTTTTCCAGGGAGCACTTAATAACACCGACAGAAGAATCCACAGGCAGAATTTTGTTCTTAGGGCTGGCTTACCCAGCCTAATGGTTGGGTCAGTAGAGGAACTCAGAAAACCAAAGTCAGTTCTCTTGATCATTAATTGTATTTATTGAAAAGCATAGGAAGGCTCACCATTTCAGTGAACCAAGGAGAAAATCTGAACAAAAATGGGTGTTTTATCTGCTCTGTGAACCTATCCTCATGAGTGACTTGTTATTCCCACCTCAATCTGTTTCTCCATAGAAAGAATTAAGAATCATTCAAAACAGCAAGGTGAGTTTGAGGCCTCTCTTAAAATAGGTGTACAAACTCTGTAAAATCATGGAATATTAATGAACCTGTACATGCTCAGGTTTCTTGAGCAAGAGCAAACTATAAAGGTTGTCTGCTTTTGCCTAGACTGTATGAAAGTAAACCCCATTTAGCACAGACTCCTTACTTGAATTAAATATGCTGCTACCATGGTGGCACTGCGGGAGCGTCCTGCCTTGCAGTGCACATAGACAGTGTTACCGCAGGCTCGGTGTTTCAGGATGAAGTCAACGCCCTTGTGGAGGTTTTCCAAGGTGGGGACTCCAGTTAGATCCACAGTGCTGAGACACAGTTGCTCCACTCCCATTGCCTTCCATTCCTGAAATGGACATAGCAGATTTGGTCAGTTAATTTTCTGTTTGTTTGATTTTTTTTTTTTCCCTGAAAGAAACCCAAAACCTGTTCAGACAGTTGAGAAACTCAGTGGGATTGTAAACAGACTTTGAATGTCAATCCTTTACATCAGATGCATGAAAAGTTTAGTGCTGACCATCAGAAACGAGTAGTTAAAGGGAACTGAAAAGATGTATTTCAGCTAAAGGAAAAGAGGGGAGTTGGGATCTCTTCCCAAAACAAAAGGCATTCCTGTATAGTGGTGTACGTGGATTCAATGCTCCCCGTCCCTCCCCGCCACTGCAGCTGTAACAGTTCACTCGCATCCTCACGTTTTAGTGGTTTGTAAGTAAAGTAAGTTTTTAAGGTGCGAGAAGTCACGTCTTTGCTGTCATAGGACTTGGCGGTCGCTGCCGGGAACGCGGCAGGAGGCGGATAAAGCCTCGCTGCGCCGGGACCGACGGAGCGTCAAGAGACCTGTCCAGGGGTCATAGGCAATGCCCGGGCTCACCTGTGGGGAACAGCAGAAGAAGCGGGTCTCGTAGTTCTCGGTGAGGGTGACCACGGCGCGCACGTTCTCCTCCGCCACCATCTGCGGGCACAGGCGCGGTCAGGAACCGCCGCCCTCCCGGCCCGGCCCGGCCCGGCCGCCCGCTCGCCTTACCCTGCGGCTGCGCCCCCGCAGCGGCAGCGCCCCGAGCAGCACGGCCTCGTCGATGCGGTGGAACCAGGGCCGGCGAGACCCCGGCAGCCGCGCCCGCGCCGCCGTGTACAGCAGCGAGGGGTAGAAGAGCAGCCGCGCCGCGCCGGCGCCCAGCGCCTCCGCCACCCCCATCGGCGCCGGGGCCGCGCCGCGGCGGGCCGGGCCGTGCCGAGGGCCGGAGGAGCGTCGCGGCCGCACGCACCGACCGTGAGCACAGGGGGCGCCCGGGGCGGGGCCGGGCCGGGGGCGGGCGGGGCCCGGCGGGGCCGGGGCGGGGCGAGGCCAGGCGGGGCGCAGCGGCGGCGGCGGCTCGGGGGGGGCGGGAGCGGGAGCACCGCCCCAGCCCCCCCACCCCGCGCTCGCCGTGGTCTCTCCCGGAAGCGCCGCCATCTTGCGGAGCCGGCCCGAGGCGGCGCAGGGAGCGGAGCGGGCGCGGGCGGATCCCGGGGCAGGTGAGGGCGGCGCCGCCGGGAGGAGCTCGGGCCGGGCCGGGCACGGCGGGGCCGAGCCGAGCCGAGCCGGCAGGAAGCGCGGTTCGCCTCGCGCAGGTAACGGCTCCTTTCCCCTTCGCCCGCAGTTCCCCGGGGCTCCCGCCGCGAGGCCGCTCGTGCAGGGCCGCGGCGACTGCCCCGCTCCCCTCCGCGGGGGAGCCGCCGCCGCCCTGCGTGCGCCATCCTGGGGCGGTGCCGCGCCGGCGGGGCCCGGGGCCGGAGGCTGCCGGGTGCCGTGTGTGATCCGGGCGCTGACAGCGCCGCGGGCGGTGGCGGGGGCGCTGCAGGGGCGAGCGCGGCCCGCGGCGGCGGCGCCATTGGGGCCGGGGTGCTACGGCGGAGCCGGGCGGACCCCGGGGCGGGGGAGCGGCTCCCCCGGGTTCGGCCGCCGGCGGCCTGCCGGGCTGGGCGCTTATCGTAGCAACCGGCGTGCGGTTCCCCGCTGTCCTCGGCACGGTGGGGTCTGTCCTCCGGAGCAGTGAAACGTTTGCTGGTGCACCAGGGAGCGGAGGTTGGTCGGGTGTACGAGGAGCGCGAGCAGGGAAATTGGAGTTCGGCACAGTGTGAGGAATTGCTGCCTCAAGCGTGAGAAGGCGTGACAGACACTGCTGGAATGAAGTAGGAAGAGGAATATAAAAACCAGGAGAGACGGATCATAAAATAGATGATAAGTGATTGAAGAAGAAAAAAGGTTGATAACCGCATGCGATTTTTATAGGACTGTTTATGAGTAGGAAGTTAAGAGGCAGCGTTCTAATAAAGTGTGAACCTTCACTCCTTTAAATTCCTGAGGAATTGTGGCCCATTTTCACCTCTGAGATACAGGCATTCTCTTCTGCCAGAAGTTGTCGGGGAACATTTTTCGAATGTTGCAGCTTTCTTGTATGTACTGCTTGAGTGTGGTTGTTGGGTGTGTTTCACCAGGAGTTCGCTTGATTTAAAAAAGTATGCTACTGTCCAAGCTTGCTCGGCCCCGGCAGATGAACCTCAGGATTAAAGGGTGGGCTCAGTTCAGCACACACTGTGTCTCACCTAAAAGAATCCACTGCGCAGGCTCGATTTAAAAAAGTATTTGGTGGGAATTTATATCTTGAAGTATGCTTTGCTCACAAGACCTTGAACTTTCTGAGTATCTTTAATTTCTGGTTTTAATTTGTTTTTTGTGTATGTACGTCCTGCCAGTCCTGCTCTTTGTACCAGTGATCACAAAAATTGCTGAATTGTCTCTTGGTCTCTTTTACTGTCTTCTCTATTGTTTTTCTGTAGGGTAGTTCAACAGATAGATTTTACTGCACTGACTTGGTATTGCATAGCCATAACGAACGCGTCACTTTTTTTTTTTTTTTCCGTTCCCCTCAGCTCTTTTCTTGGGATCTCTGCATAATGTGAGATACTGTATCTTCCTCGAGTTGTGTCTGGACCCAGGTATTTAAGAGGCAGCGTTGTTGGAAATCCTGCTGCTGCAGTAGGTGTTCAAAATTAATAAATACATCTTTAGACTGAGATAGGAAATATTCCGGTGGGCAGAGATTGCATCCAGCAGCTTAGTATGTTCAGTTGCATTCCTGCCGATGAAGAGCCCCCCAGGGCAGCAGCACGATTCTTATATCTGCTCAGGGACGTGGGTGCAGATATATACCACCAGTAAAATTCCTAAATAGGGTTTTTAAAATACAATGACGTAAAGAACTATTTTTTCTTAAGGTGCTTACTGTTCTCTTTCAGCCTGTGCTCACATTCAAAGTTATTGGTGATACTTATTCTGGGAAAGTGTAGGCTGTTTTGTGGAGTGTGTTCACTCTTTCTGAATGATCACTCTTGGATGGCTGTGTTTTTCCTTTCTCTGTCAAAGTCTCTAATGTTACATTAGGGAAAAATCAGTCCCAGATCCTACCTGCTTAGTTACGTTTGCCCTTTTGTATCTACTTTTTTTTTTTTTGGGTATTTGAAGCAAAATAGTTGATGCAGGCCTAGGAAATTCTGTTTACATGCAGAAGAAAGTAGGAACACAGCCTCTGTAGAAAAGCAGAGGATTGAAAAGTGATTGTCCTAAAATCATGAACATTAAAACGTGAAGATTTATGTGTTAGGTAGTTTTGTTTTAAAAGTAAATGGCTTAAAATAGTGAGAAGAACTTATCCATCTTTCACAATAGAAGACAGGTAAAGAACTCCATGGTATTACAGAGTGCTTAATAGTGAATTCACATTTTTCCTAGTCCTTCACAGTTCGATACACTCGTAAGATGATCTTTACGTGGTAAGAGGAAGGCATCTTTGACTTTTATTTCTTCTGCTATGAGTAGGGATTCTGAAAACATGCTACCTGGCACTATTTCTCTAAATGGGAAAGCAAGAAAGGTGGCAGTATCACAGATATACAATAATTGTCTTTCTCATTAATAATAAATCCATAACTTGCAAGTAACCTTTACATCAATTGAAGAATCATTAGTTGAAACAAAGTACGGTGCTTTGGCATAAGGGAAGTATTAATATAAGAGAAATATTTGTAATATTGTGTAAATTTTCTTCTGAAATTATTGCTAACAATATGCTGAATTAGTTGAATTTCATAAAAGCTAGATGTTATGTGGTTCTTAAATATTTAGATTCACGTTGAGTTAAATAAGATTCTACCTGTAATCTAGTGCCTAATTGAACTTAGTAAGAAACTTTGTTATGAGCAGGTTGCTCCTTAACTATTTCTTGCTTATTTTTCAGAAATGAGGTTATGGACTATCAGTTACTGAGTTGTCTGCCACAAGTCTTTTCAGAGTGCCCACTCTAATTTTTTCTTTAGTGCCTTTTTTTTAGACTAGATGGGAAGTGATACAAATTCTCATCCTTTTTGAGATTTCCTGGTTGTTAGTGTCTAACTCTGGGATCTAAGAACCCACTGGTCAGGCTGTTGGAGACTCTTGTTCAGCAATATGTCCACGAGGCAGTCCAGTTTTCCAAGTCATAATGTGAGTTTGGTTACTGAAACAGCAGCAGTAGTCCAAGAGACTGAGATCTGTATTTCTGCACTCTTATTTTTTAGTCTTCCAATGAATGTCTTAAATGTTTTGTTTCAACCGGGGCATGTTCAGTATTGCTTCTTATCCTTCAGGGAGGAGTTATTCACTGCCTTGGTAACTGTCTTCTGGCAAGAAAGTATCATTTTTATCCATTGATCAGGTATTTGGCAGGAGAGAAAAAACAGTGTAAATCAAAGCAGACTAAAATACTTCAGGGTTTATTAGAATGGGAGTTGTAATTTGAGAAGAGTTATCTAGGGCCTCTAATGGGTTTTTCTCGTGAAGTATCACAGCACAGAATCTTAAGATGTGATCCTGTTACAAGACTTCTTGAGGCAAGAGAGATTATCTTGACTGAAAAAAGTAACTTGTAGTTTTGTTGCCTTTCCTTCAGTCATTAGAGATGGTTGTCATTATAGATCTTGCTATACGAAAAAATGCAAGATACCATTTTTCTGCTATTTTAAAAAGGTGCCAAGACACTTTGGGACATAACAGTGAAAAGAGAGAGCTTTAGAGGAGATTTCCCAAACATCAACTGAACATCATTATTTGCACCTGATGCAAGATTCAAGTGTGCAAAGCTAAAATGTACGTTAGGTCAAAGCAGGAAATTTCAATAGAGCAAGGGAGAAAATGTAAACTACTTTAAAACTGCAGTGCCAATTAGCCTGCAAATGCTTTGCTGTAGGGAGGAATAGTTCGCAAGTCTGAACTGTGATAGACAGAGCAGGCTTATTTGTTCGACAGCAACATAGTGCAGCAGTTGTCATCCCAGGGAAAGGAAGTGTTTTTTCTGACATCTTGAGTAGCTTAAAAGTTCCAGCTATCTTAGCTCTGTGCATTTTGAAAGAAAAAGCATTGTTGCTAACTGAATTCAATATGAACAATGAACAACTAGATGGATGAACAGAAGTCTTCAGTAGTTTTCAAATTTTAGTGAGGAAATTCAGTTTAGATGATGTACTTTGTCACAGAAATATATGTAAGTGAAAGCCTTCTGCCAGAAGTGAAATCCTTGTGCACAAGTTGTCTTGTCTGTCCCATGTATACATATTACCCTTTTGTATTCGGTATACTTAGTATATCATGGTCTGGTTTTTGGTTTGATTTTAGAAAAGATATGCTGGCTTACTGGCTGCTCTGTTAGAGGCAGAGTATGAGTGGCAAACTGACAAACTGTGAGTTTTGATAATGAGTCTGCTGATGTAGAGATTTATAACTGATTTAATGGTTTGGCTTGCAGTGTTAAAGTTACAGGTAAATTTAAAGTTATATAAACTCGGCTTAAAATCGTATCTCTGCAGAATTTTAACGTCAGTTTGACTAAATTACTTGTAAATATAAAAAAACTTGCGGATGAGAGGATGAGTGTTTGTCGAGTATCTAGTGTCATGCTGGTATGGTATCTGGCAGGCTTTCCTTTGCAGACAGGTTTTTTTTTTTTGATGCTTGCATACTGAGTATTCTCTCAGAGCTGAATGCTCTCCTGATTCATATAACAAGAGTGGATGTCTTACATTGCTTTTACTTTAAATAATGTGAGTTTTTCAGGACCTTGGCTTCTTTTTTTCACCACCATCAAAACTGTACTTTCTGGTAGTTTTCACTTCTGCCTGCAGGCTGTTTCGTATTGCACCCTTCACAAAAATAATGCGGTTGTTATCCACTAGATTTCAGCACCTCACATGTCAAAGTAAAACTGTTGTTCTGCAAACATCTTATCATTTAGAATTCAGGCTTTGAACCCATGAATATTCTCTGCTATTTTTGCCTCGAACTATGCAGTTCAAAAGATATTCCAACAAATGCATGCTATCCACAAATCTTTTACACTGTTGGAAAGGGAATATTCATGTCTGTTTTTTTCCAAAGCAGAGGAGAGTTGGTTATTTATGAAGCTTGTAATTCAGATGAAGTATTTAGCAATGTCTAAGTCTACATACAAAAATGATAGCATCTTTCTTAATGCATGTAGAGGTTTGCAAGATGGACACCACCCATCTTATTATCTAAAAAATCTTACAAGATAAAGCTTTGACAAATGATTCTTCAGAAGGCAATGAAATATTGCTCTTTCAGGAAGAGAAGATATATTTTGAATGCCACATCTAGCTTTTGCATTTCATGTGGGTACAACAGAGTGTAGAAGTAATTCTTCACTTATAGTTTCATTTTCCTAAGCCATCCACTATTCCACTATCTTAAAATCTTTTTGCCAACTTACCTCTGCTTCCTTGTTATTTGCCTTGAAAAAATTCCTGTTCTCTGTTTAAACTCCTGAATTAAAAAGCATACATCTGGATGACAGATCAATGTAGTGAAGAACTGTATTTCTTTGGGTTTTTTCTTGTCTTGGCTGTCGTTGTTTTATGACTGTACAATGTGTAGCATGATTCATGAAACAGTGAAGATTCCTTGCACAGTCCTAAGTGACGTTAGAAGTGATACTGTTTAAAATTATCAATATGCAAAATCTTTGGGAGGAGAAA